ACAAACCAATGAAAGCAACGTGTGTAAATCTCTTTCCAGACTGGATCACAAACTCGTCGTCTTGGTCATCATCTTCCAGCAGGGGATGTAGAGTTTTTAAGGGCATTTTTGGCGAGTCCTCTGCCAGTCCGACTTCATCTAGCACTACCACAGAAGCAAATGTGTCTGGAGTTCCTTGTTTGTTCTTGCTCTCCTGAAGTTTACTACATTGTTTAAATGTTGCTAGTATCCCGTCAGGGGTGGACTGAGGGCTACATTGGTACGAAACCAACTGAATCTGTTATAAAAAATTGAAGCAACTGATTCCGTTTCTAAGTATTTACAGCTCACTGTAAAACCTTACTTGTGATAAAATTTATTTGAAGGGAGAGAAAAATACCAGAACCCTTGTAAGCTACAGATAGCTTCCCAAAATGTTATTTGTGTGGTGTATATACCTCAACTCTTCCCTTCAATGAAATGTTTACATTGGAACCGCCCCGTACACCACGAAAAGCTATTAAATAAAGAGATTCTTAAACGCGCCTCTCAAAGAAAATCACCACAGCACTGAATTAACACAGTTGGAACATAAACAGAACAGAAAACAAGTCTAAAAGAGTTCACAGGTTTTTATTTTTCAATTAACGTTACTATTATCATAGCTATTATCATAGCTATTATCATTATCATTACCATTACCATTCTTCTTCTTTTTTTTTTTTCATTATTATTTTATTATTCTCATGGTGTCATAAGCACTCTGTTATTCGGTCTTACCTGCTTAAACTTTTTGAAAAGTTTAGATTTTGATCTTGCTCCCTGCATGTTATCGGCTACAACAGTCTTGGCCAGGGATTTGGAGCTGCCTGGTTTACCAACCACAAATAATGGAATCCTCAGCTCAATGCACACCACCATCATAAACACATTTTCACTAAGGGCTTCGTTGCAGGCAATGTTGGGTCCAAGTTCTAGCTCCCCCATCAAAGCTTCTTGACATCTTCATAAGGAAACGTAGAAACCAATATTTACCATCATGAGATAAAATGAAATATATGAAGTTCATATATTTTGTACTGCGGTATTAGATACATATGCACGATCCTCGCAGTAGATAGCGCTATTTAAGCAATAGCGAAAATCAGACCTGAAAAAAATCAGGCCTGTACGGGATTCGAACCACTGACCTCTGCGATACTAGTTCANCGCAGATACCAATATTTACCATCATCTTCATCACAAAGAATAAACTCATAAATGATTGACAGCGATTTAAACTTTCCTCTTTATTTATCTCCTCAAATGGTAAAACAACAAAAACGAAATAATTCCCCCTGATATTCAGTCGAACAACCATTACGTCTTATCGATATTAATTTTACGCGAAAATGAGTAAGAAATTTGAAAAAGAATATGGCTAGAGTTTAAAGTGCACCTAAACCAATTTTTTTTCGCTTAACGAAATAAGCTTATTTTTTGGAGTATTTCTGTGTAAATTTTTTTTATTTGCTTGAATCTTCAATTTTCTGTGCCCAGTCAAAATACAGAAAATCGGCCGCCATCTTGGCTCACGACCGAGTTTAAAGAGTGATGGTTCTAGCGGGTAATGTGACGTCGAATCGAGAACACGAAAGTCTGCATTTCACACATTTTCACTTGTTTGAGAAGGTTGTAGTCGATATTGTCCGAAAATATGCTCACTAAGCGTGTTGTAGGAGGATGTAGCAACGTGCGAAATTTGCAAGAGGGTATCGTGTTTCATACATTCCTCACACAGCACACCTAGTCGGCATGTTTCGGACAATATCGACAATCTTCCCAAACAAGTGAAAATGTGTGAAATGCAAACTTTCGTATTCTCGATTTGACGTCACATTACCCGCTAGAACCATTCCTCTTTAAACTCGGTCGTGAGCCAAGATGGCGGCCGATTTTCCGTATTTTGACTGGGCACAGAAAACTAAAGATTTAAGCAAATAAAAAATTTCTGCACAGAAATACTCCAAAAAATACGCTTATTTTGTTAAGCGAAAAAACTTTTTTGGGTATAGGTGCACTTTAAAAATGGCGTTGAGAGGAAATTTAAACTGCATCGCTCTCAAACCGCATTTACACTTGTAGGTCCATCGTCAACAAATAACAACTTTACCGACAAATTTCTCTTTCAATCTTTTCAGCTCCACCAGGAAGCCTACATGGTGTTCGAAATGATTTCGCTACTGCCTCACGGTATTCCTTCCTTTCTGTTAACCGTGCTTGGTAACAAACACCAAGAGCAAGAATTAAAGACCAGGTTACTGGGTCAATTCTGTCGCCGACATCTCCCTACAATTAATGATAAATAATGCAATCACTATAGTTTCAAAAAACGAAAATATGTTGGATATTGATGAAATTACCATCAGATCGTCATTTTCATGTCTTCAAAAAATACAAGGCAATGCAAAGCTTTGTCTTTTGGGATCCAAAACAGCCATATAATCAAAGGGCTTCGTGGAAGGTGGCATGGTGTTGAGGTGTGATAAAGTCAAGGAGTGATGATGCTTTCACTTGACCTAATCACCGCCTAAAATTACTCACTAGTCGATTGTGAAGTTCGTAAAGAATATGTTTTTCGCATGAGATAAAAATTATTCATAGGAGTAAAACGGAGTGGGCGCAATTGGTAATTATTACAATTGAAACAGCAAGTGTCTTCGCCAGTATTGAATAAATTTTAACTAAAACTATACTTACGTTTTCTTCTTGGAACGGTCCTGCGACAGATTCTTCAAGGTCGAGTGTATTTGAAGGATCGAATCGAGGAGCCACATGCAGAGGCTTTAAATCTTCTGAGGTTTCTTCTAGAAGAGCAACCCGTCCTTTTCCGTGAGTTAAAGTGTGTAACATCTCAAGCAGGCGTGATCGCTCGTCTTTTTCTCTTTTGACAGCAATATCTTCTTTGAGAGGATTAAACCAGCTTGAGTGATCGATAAGCGTTCGCCTTTCCCCTTTCAAAGGAGCATGTTCTTCCTTTTTAAGAACGGATCGCTCGTCATCAGAAGCATAAGGTGCTTCTTTCAGATTTGGTTGCATTGTATAAAATTCGATGTCGCCTTCATTCTCGCTATCGTCTTCATTTTCACTTTCCTCTTCTTGCATCAAAGAAAAAAAGTGCTGGTACTGCTTGTGAAACCACAGCATGACCTCCATGGCTCGTTTAACGTCACGTAAGCTAACAAAGCTGCATTCATCCTGCAAGTGTAAATTTAAAACCAGTTTTTGAAAAACTATGGCGATCGTTTCGTATTCAAGGATGACGATTAAGTACCAATTATTAGAGAACCTTGAGAATAACCTTTTTAAAATACGATAACGTCAACTGTGTTAAATTTTTCATTATGGTTCACCAATTTCCTATTGGAACGAGTTTAGGTTTAAAAGAGTTCGCAGAAAAACAGACATGATATGTAGTTACCAACAATTGACAGCAGGATCATAAAACGTAATGACGAAACTAAAAGATCAAGTCATTAAAATACTCATTTTCATCAAACAAAGGTAATAACCCGCTGTTGCTCAACAAGCAAAACACCTTTTTCTGTCTCATGAATCTCTGGGAGGCTGCTAAAACACTTGCTATGGCAATGACTAGGTTTTCATCTCCTGGAAGGCGACCTTGATGAACCTAAAAATAGAGAATGATTTTGTACAAAATTGAAGTGTGGATACCAGAGATTAGCAAGGGCTTTATCGATTCAAGTGCCAACCGGCAGTTTATGAATTTCCTCCTGTATTCTCGCTGAAAAATGTTTCCTCAAAATTTCAAATTTGCTCTCAAAGCTTAGCTTCTCGACCAAATATTAATTTTTTGGGACAATCTTTCAGTGGCGGACATTATCAGCCGACTTACCAGCTGTCAAAAATAGCTTTTTTAATTAATATTCTCTAATTTTTGCGTATTTGGTTTTAAAATAATCTAATGATCAAGTATGTAACGCGAGGGGTCAAATTGAGCAGCGACGTCTCGACTCCGGCCTTTACAAACTTTGCTGAATGACCTTGGTCGTTCCGCTGTTTGGGGTAATGGCCTCTGCAAGATTTGTTGTAGTAAGCGATGAAGACGAAAATGGTTTTTCCGAACAAAAAGAGAAAGAGAACACCAAAAGGAAAACGCTGTATGAACTAAAGATTTTCAAGGAAGTTTTCGAAAGTTGCGACGAGACGAGAAACAGAGGATATCACTCCCGTGGAACTATAAGCAATCATCAAAAACTTCGTTCCCCGAGCAACGAATTTTTTGACGAATTTTTTGGCACTGCGAGAAGGAAAAACGGCGACAAGTATGAGCCCTCATCTATGAAGTCAGAGTTAGTAATATAATTTTTATTTAGCTAATTCAAAACCAGTTTACATGTATCTTCTCCTAACTTACGGTTTACCTTTTTCTGATTTGGGCACCGGGTATTTTGTATTTATTTAACGAAGGAAACGATAAGTTGATCGGAGAGTGTGTTTTTGCATTTCAAAGTTGCTCGGATGCAACGATTTTCCCGCTTTACAATATGTACTTACATATCTCCTCACAATCTGTTGGGTGTAAAGCTCTTCTACTTCCGGATTCAACTGCCCAAAATCCCAAACAATACTACGCATGCTCTCTGGTATTGCATGAACACGATAAACAAGATGACGCAATGGGATTTTACCTATATGATAGCAAAGTAACCATAATTAATAATGAAGAAAATCAGACCAGATTATTTTGGTAGGGTTTTTCACATAGAATCTCTCACTCTTACCGAGGCGTTCAGCAGTTTCTTCAGCTGTTACATGGTAGCCCAATCCCGCAGATTCTAGTTTCTGTATCATTTCATCTGTGTGCCTGCAAATAGGGTTTCCTAATTAGGCTTTGGTGTTGGTCAAATGAGGAAATCCGTAACTAACTTACGTCACGTGACTTGGTCATCGTGTTTTGTTGCTGGTTTGGAAGGTTACTATTACGGCCGGACTTGACAATAAATACGCCGGATATTGGTGTAAAAGGCATAACTGCACATCAAAAGTTACAACTGCGGATCCAAAGTGATCACTACGGATCACTACAAAGTTATAGCTGAGGATTTAAAGTTCATAATGATGACAACATTTAACTTAAATCAGAATGCCACTTGTAAGACACCGTAAGCGCCAAACTTGAAATAAATTACATGTCCGTAATAACCCTCTCAGAAAATTCGGGGTTTTTCCCTCCTTTTAGAGAATGGCGCAGTGAGAGTGCGGCGTGGGCCCCAGAACACAACGCAATCCAGACTGACCGCTAGTGACTGTTTCATCTCCCCCRCAACGTTCTTTCTTTAAAAAAAAAGCATTTATTTTTCATTTCATAATTACCACTTTCACGCTATGAACACAAGACTTACTTTCGATACGGATTGCAAGCTACAATGAATTTCAAACTGTCATTCAGGGGACGACCGTTACATCTTCGGTCCACCATAATTTCCTTTATCATCCCCAATGCTTCGGTAGTATTCGCCTCATCAAAAAACAAAACGGTGTCGATATCTTTGCCCTCCAGTCTATTATTAATGGCCATTGCCTCGGCTTGAAGGACATTTCTTTCTATGTCTTTATAAGTGGTGCCGCCATGGATCTAAAGAAGGCGACATAATAACAAACATTGGGTTAGGTAGTGATGACATTGCAATTTTCCAAGTTCATTATTACATTTTTCAAGGAAGCTCTGTAATTGTTACTGCTGGATTTCTCCTCATCATTCTAATAGTGAACTTCTTTGCAGTGGAATTTCTATCTTAAATGAACAACAGCAACAAAATTTTTATTTATACTCCTACTCGCTCAACCTACAAATAACATATCCACTGAAAAATATTATCATAGCACTGCGTGCTTGCATCACCACTGGGGCCAGCGGAGGCATGAAGCCAACAACAACCAGGGCAAAAGAAGAAGATTTCCTCCCTCGTTACAGATCTCATCGTCTGAATATCCAGTCCCCTGTCACCCGCTTCAACTACACCCACTAAAACTTAGAATAAGGTAACTCTGAACAAATTTCTTTCTCTACATATCTTGTCGCCGTAAAATTTGGTATTCTAGGTTTACTCCTTCAGGAGGTTTCTGCGAAGAATACTTTTTTATTTATTGTTTCATTTTCCCAAAGAGAGTACAGTGCCACAAACAGAAACATAAATTCAAATACAGTGCTACTAACAGTATACTTTACTTAAGAATTCCGAGACGGGCAGTAAAATCAACATTGATGTCTAAACGTCGCTCACTAACCATACTGAAAAAAAAAGAATCGAGAATAGAGCTTTGGTTTCACCTTCATTAACAGCATGTTTCTTTGTTTAACTCCCTCTGTCTGTAGGCCGCAAAAATATCGAATGAGCTTTGTTTTTCCGCATCCTGTTTCCCCCATGATTACAACTGGGATGTTACATCTGAACCTCATATAGATGGCAAGAATTTTCTTGACATTATCACCCGTCAGCTCGTACGAGTCATCCGGATCGTACGAGTCATCCGGATCATGTCCGAAGTCGATACCCATGACAGCGCACAGCAACTGAATTTTTTGAACCCTGGAAAAGCAATTTAGAAAACAAGCAAAAATTCAAGGGAATACCAGTCTATGCTAAGAAGCGTCCTTTCACTTACTTTTTGACTTCTGCAAATTCTTTGGTACTTTTGTGTTTTTCAGGATAGAGAAGGGCTGGGACCGGGACCTCTTAACTCCTACTCCAACACGCTAATCACAAAGCAAAAGAGTCCTTCCCATCCACCCTCCTTCCCATGCCTTGGTGGAGGTTAGTCACGAACGTTAGTTACGAGACATGAGACTCCAAATAACTGATTCATCTATTTTATTCAGCAGTCGCCACTTGATACCTACTTCGAATAGGACTCAAAGCTGTTTTCTAAATCCACTTTCTGCACAGAAAGTCCCGTGCGAAGATGTCTTGTCATGATCCCTTCTTGAATGATTTTTTGAGTCTGCGGATCCAGAAGATTTCCTTCTTGATCAACTTGGAATCCGAGGAAAGTCATGGTATCATGATCCGGATGAAAAAAGATATATGGATGAGGCCTAAATTAAAAAAGGGAAGAAATATTTGTCTTCTTGTGTCAAATGTAAACGTTACAAAGTTAAGCTCATTCGAAATGGCGAGATCAAAACGTATTAGCAAGTATTACCTCTTCTCCCAACGTCTCCGGAGTCGGAAGGGAACAATATCTTGCTCTTCCTCTGAACCAGCTGATGCTCCGTGAATCTGATTGGTATCTTTGTCTGTTAAAGATCGCATCGAGAAATCCTGACAGAGAGCAACAAAGTTTCAGTACCAATAACATGGAATTTTGTTGCATCATTTAGAAGAGTCACAGCAATATTACCACCCTTTCATTTGTGACAGGTCAAACGGTCTTCTTATCGAAAGCGACCTCGTACAAAAAGTTTTCCAAGTGAAAAAAATACAATAATTGTAGAGGGACCAAGATAACCACCGAAAGAGATGATTGAAACGGATTGCCAATGACGAGTGATCGATGTTTAAGACTTCTGAAATCTTGGAAATTAATCGCTGATATTTCTGCTCATTTTTTATAACTAACCTTTGACATAATTATCATAAAATTAACCACAAATGTCCGGAATCCTTCCAAGGTGTCCTCTACTAAAGAGGTGTTACAGAACGTACTTTTCTCGCAATCCCTAAGCTGGTAGTTCAAAAAGTTCACAAAATAACGAAGCTCAGACCATGACGGGTTCTTAACTCCACAGTTCCTGACAAAAGTAAACAAAGTATGAGTATTTACACAAAGAGCTAGGTCCAATAATTAAAGGGTAACAATCTACAAAGTGCAAACATAAAGATCCAGAGAAAAGAGCCCTTACAGAACTAAATAAATATTTGGTTTTGTTATGAGATGTCTCCAGATTGGTCTCCCAAGCACTTCTGTCGAACAGCGAGTTCCTTTGTGGAGAGTTAACACTGGGTGCACTCTATTCAAGGATATGTTGCGAGTAGCGTATTACCATGAGAAACATTTCCTCGCGTATTATAATTAAGTTACCTCACACATTTGAGATTCATTATTCCACTATTGTGGCCTATCGAAGCGTCCGGCCACTTTTTTGCTTTAATTTCCGTCCGTACTTTTGTTTGTACTAAAGTGTATAGTCACACCACTGTTAAGTGGTCCCCCCATAAAAAAAACAAAAAAAAACAACAACAACAAAAACAGATGACGGCTTGGTTAACCGTCTGGTGCGTAATTTGACAAACGTGTACCAATCATTGTTCTCAATCGATACGAAACAAATGAACTATTTCACAGTCATAACGACTGTGAATAAGGGAAGCCAACCACGAGAATCTCAAGAATACCCGCCTGACTGTACCAAGATAGAAAAACAAGGACGTAGATAATTTGAGGCTTGAACGCTTGCTTTTCTCTGAGACAACTGCTGTCTCTCCCGTGGAACAGGTTACAAACCTGATTAATGTTTTAAGACATTCGGTTGGACTCGTGCGTTTATTGCTTGGATTATAGTAAAACTGCTGGATAAGTTCAGGTTCCTCCTTGATCAGCTGAAGATACTGCCACACACGCTGAACTTCGTCGCTCTCTAATTCTCCCTCATCAAATGATGGGCGATTACTTTCTTTTACTGCTAAAAAAAACATACATTTTGATGATGCCATGACGTGTAGAAATAGTAAGGACTGTACATCAAGTGAGTAAGTCGAAGATTAGTCTAAGGTGAATAGAGAAGTTCCTATCATTGCATTTCAGCAGGAAATCAATAAGTTGATTTTCTTTTACTCTTTCCAGGTCGACTTATGTTTTAGATGGTCTGTTTTTGTTGAGGTAAAAAAATCGGAGGTCCTAGAGAAAAAGTGCCGAAGAAAGGATTACAACCAAGAAACATGATTCCATCTCCAAGTTCGAGTCCAGGCCACAGTGGTGGTGAGGAACTAGCGCTCTCGCGACTTTAACAACCCTACTGACCAATGCAAAGCCGTGAGAACTTCATTCCTATAAAGTCCTTGCCTAAGGACAAAGGATAAAAATGTTCTAACTTTGGCTATGTTCCAGTTAGCACTACAATTGTAATACTACAGATTTTATATCATAATTAAACAGTCAAAATGCATGATAGCTTTTTTACTAGCAACGAGAAAGCAGTAACACGATGATTTTTTATGCAACGTCAAACTTGAGTCAAATCATACCTGCGCCTTTTCTTCTCAAGGAGAAAAGAGTGTCTCTTGGAAGAGAGCATCTGATTTGAGGGAGAAGATCATCGAACTTGCAAGCCTCAGGTGACTCCTTAGGTCCCTAATTATATATGATGAGATTAAAAAAAAAAAAACAGTCATGAAGTGATATTCGTTAAAAGCATATTGGCAGATATATTAAAGTATCCTTAAGTCGTGTATGGGAAAAAATTCTTACCATTGAGGTGGGGTTGGTGACTTCTAGGATATACAAGTCGTGGGAGTTCCTTCTCCAAACGCGTCCACACTCATCAGTCAGCTCACCCAAGATCAGTAAATTAAACAGCAACGTTTCGAACTCTGGCGTTACCTGTCAAGGAAGTGTGCATTAGAACATAATTCATGTTGCTTGTTTTCTTGCTCAATTTTTGTTTAGGTTCTTTTTCGCAAGCTTGTTCAGCCTTCAACTTTCTATTTAAAAGCTGATTCACTTTCCAGTCTAGATACAAGTTGTTTTTTTGTTTCCATTCTTCAAACATAAATCATGGCTAATTTCCTTTCAGTTGACGGTTTCGATAGCTGTCAGCCATTTTTGTCAAACTAAAACTATCGCTCTCGGGGGGCGAGTGACCTAAGCAAGGGTGACTTTCCAATTTATGACTTGAAATCGAACTTGAACATTATAATCAATACCTTCACACGACATCTTTGGTTGTAAAGGAAATGCCTTATATCTATCAAAACTTTCTACTTTGAGCTAAGTTGGAGTGAAAAAAATCTCTGTTGAAATTTTGTACTTAAATGTGGCGAATTTCTTCAAGACTTTTCAGCCATTTATTGTGGATGTCTCTTGATTTTTCTTACTAACCCTTTCTTAGTGACCTATTCCTACGAAATTGGTTTACTGATAATAAAATTTTTCCTGGTTGATAGTTTTCCTTATTCCCATCACCATTTTGTTTGAATAATTAAGTAAGGTGATGATGATTATCATGTTTTTAGATAATTCAGTTGATCAATTAATCATAAAAAATAATTAATAAAAAATAAATATATAGCAAAAACTCACCTCACAGGAACAATCAAGATGAAAAATTCTGGACAAAGGTATATCCGATGGTATAGCATGAGGAAGAAAAAAACCAACAGCATCTGCTACATGCGCATTTTTGTCGTGGAAAGGAATTGTTACACACAAACGAAGTGTTTCTTCACCCTCTTGGAGCATTGCCTCCACGACAAGCTGATTGTTGGGAAGCTTTTCCAATTCTTCTGCCAGCCTACGAACGACCAAGGTTTTTCCAACTCCAGGGTGGTCAGAGGATACCACGAGAACGTTTAAGCTTCAACAAAACAAACACTTTTTCGTTTAGAGTGCTTGGATAAAGCACGGTTTATGTTGGAGAAATGCTGTGTCAGGTAAATTGCTGGCGTAATTTTGAATGACATCGACCTTTAGAGGTCCCTATTTCGACTCTCATTTACTCCGAAAAGGAATAATGGGACAAATATTTCATCCATTTTGGAAATCTATGTACAGGGATTAAGTGTTGGCTTGTGTCTTCAATTGTCTAATACACCAAGAGGTAATTTAATATTTAAAAAGGCGAAAAAACAAAGAGCCTTTCCTGTTGTTACAATAACCATCGTAATCTGGTGAGACATGCTACATGTTTTCTAATGATAACACACTTTAAAGCACAAGATGTTTCTCATCTTCCCAGATCATCTGAGTAAGAGACCTTTGATTCGTTCTCAAAACAATCAACAATTCTTAGTGATGCTTAAGCCTAAGAGAAATGCAACGTTTCTCTCTAAAACTGTTCTCGCGGCTATACAAAAAAAAATTTCCTTGCGTGATTTAAAGAGCAATCAGTGATAAACCTACTTCTCCGCTCGACCAACTTCTGCAGCTGAATTCCAAATCACGTGCCGCTCACGATACACACCAGGCCTCTGCCCTGGCACTCTAAACTGTTTTGCGAGGAATCGTCGCAGCTCGTCTGGTCGAGGATATCTCGGCATTGATACTTTGAACTGCTCCAAACAGGTGATAATATGAGCTCGTTCTTCATTTTCGCTACTGCATAGAACAACAAGGGCCAAGTCTAATAAAAGCCAAAATCGAAGAAAACAAAATATTAAAAGGCAAACTATTGACTTAACGGAATCTACTTTTCTGAGACTTGGAAAATTTTCACTGAACAGTTCCTTTCTCGATGAGCAGCTACATGCTCCCCATTTCCGTTTCAATTCATGAAACGGTGTTACTTTTAAAGGAAAAGGAAACGAAATTAAATTACGTGCTTTGTGTAGAAGTAAGAGTTCTTAAATCTTCTTCATTTTTACATAATATTGTGCGTTGCGTAGAAGAACGAATGAACAAAGTTCCTATTTTAACACATATCTTCGCTCACCACAGACCAGAATATGGGACCAAGAGGTATGATATAAAACAGCACTTACCTTCAGGGTTGGAATAATCTTGCAGCAATGTGAATAAACAGTCCACAACCTTTTGACTGACATCATAGTCTAACAGGTCACCATTGACTAAACAGTAAAGTTTTTTTCCATTGCTTGCCAGGGCTCGACGCCATAACAACTCGACCTAGAAAACGGAGAGCAGTAGACCATCGCGATACGTTCAACTTGCTAGGTGTTTTTCACACCGCAATAAGTATAGGTAATCACATTATTTCGAGTGTAACTTGGTGCATATAAGCACGAGAGAACATTTCTAAGACAAAAATATTACACGAGCTCGTAGGGCAAGAATAATTTGTTTAAAGAAATTGTGCACTCATGGGAACATAATAGTTGAGACACTGAGACGAAGACTTCTGTTTTTCTCATGAGGCTTTGAGCGGGCAATTAAAGGAAGATGAACAATAGTTGATCTCAATGTACATGTACTCTAACAGTGCGATTATTGAAAGAAAAAAAAGGCGCGTTCACCGGAATAGGGGTGCTTACTGGTATAGGAGCGCTTATTGGAATGAGGGTGCTTATTCAACAGGGGCACTAGTTAACAAAAATTAATTCGAAGGGAGGGACGCTTACTAGAGAGTGGGCGCTTTCTGGAACGAGGGCGCGAAATCGAATCATTATGGTACACGAAGAGAGCATCACAGAAAGTCAAGACAGACGAACTTTTTACAGTGCACACACTATTTACTTTTTGCACTCGAATTACAATTTTGTACTCGTGTTATAACTTTGCACTCGTGTTACATGAAAAATCAACTCGTTTTCAGCCAGTCAGAAGTTTAATATTAATCCACTTACATAACTAGAACGAATACGTAAGCAAGATTATCGATGTGTAGGTGTGACTAAGTCAGGAGTTTTTCTTTTTGCATATGGTTGAAACTAACACCAGTGACAGATTAACTTAAAGTTCTTAGCACACAGTAGTTTTGTGGGTTGCACCAAAAGTGAGTGGCAGCCGTTTAAAGGTGGTGGAAGGGGAAGGTCATGCCAGCGCCAACCATACTTTGCGATCGTGCAGATAAGCCTCGTTTCCCCCGCCTCTTCCCCACCCTCCCCACGCCAGACTGCTCTTGTAATTGTGTACAAGCGCGCCACGCTAGTAATTACCTCCTCAGATGTCGTTTCAGATGTGCAAACGAGGACTTCGTCGCTAGTTGGCAAACTATGCATTCCCTCGTCCTTATAAAGTTCAAGAACAGCGGAAAAGATATTCTCTGAAAAGAGTTAGTACACAAATTATTGAATCAAGAAAGGGACCAGATGTGGATTAGCAGACAAACGGATGTAGAAGTAAACGGTTGAATAGTGAGTAAAAAAATTTAGCTGAGTTGGAAGCTGCTGTCGTAACGCTTTTACCATGAGGTCATTATAGGTACTCATTCACTTAGTGGGAGGGCCGGAAAGGAAAACATTTGGCTCGAGGTCACGCGCGAGGTCCGTTCCCCATGACCAAGAGCCAAATATTTTCCCGTCCGGCCCGACTAAACTCAGTCAATAAGTATTTTATCCTATGACTACTGAGTGTTGAAAATTTCAACTTAAATAGGACACGAACGCAGAAAAAACTTTTCCTTCATTTTCTCAGGTCAGAACATGAAACTCCCAATTTATTGAAAAACGTGACTTTTTTTTTCTCATTTCTGTTTTCCTTTAAGTTTTTGAAAAAAGCTACACGAGGGAAGGCCTTTTCTGGACCGGCTCAAGTCAACCCGTCCGGAACTGTACACGTCAGCTTTACTATGGTTTTCTATCGGATTGCGCGAGCGGGGCTGACTGGTCATATGATAAAGAAGAATATGAAAAAGTCATCAAAACAGTACAGAACCACAAAAAGTCTCCTTTCGTTACAATGCTCGAAGCACAGATAAATCAATTCGGAACCCTTAGGATATGCTTACTTCTAAGGTGGGAAAATTATGTTGTATTCACATTCACCAACTAACCGAGGACGTTATCAGTCGCAACCGTACCTTTGTCTGCAAGCATGAGATTCGGCTGTCCTTTTTTCAAGTAAGTTTGGATTTCTCTCTTTGCAACTCTTCCCTCTACGACAAGAAATGTTCATTACTAAGGGTTGGTTCATATAAATGATTCATTAAAACCATACTTCTTAACGCACAGCAAAGAATAAGAAGCAAGTATCCCTAAGATGTTGATTCTCGCTGTACATAAATCTCAGCTGGTAAAATAATTTTTTTATGACGACAGGAGATCAGACTTCTATTAGGGTAGAGTCTATGACAACAATTCTTTACATAAAGGCTGTGTCATAAAGACTTTTAAAGTTAACACGTGATGCTGAGGTAGGATTAAGCTAGGTTTCTGAAACTTCGGTTAATGTCGATACTATAATTCTGGTTTAAAAAACATCAAAAAATTATACGTGCATACTAATTATGATACGAAAAACTCTTTTCAGCACGTTAACTCCTTGAACTGACAATCTACACAGTGAAAAACAAGAAATACATAAAAAGAAAACTACAAGGCCATGTAGCATTTAAAATTTAAATTATTTATTGTTTCTTCAATTACCATTTCCGGCAACCAAGCAGGACAGAAATACGCCAATTTCGTCCAGACTCAAAAAGGTGCCCCCTAATGTTTCGTCCAGATCGAAGTTTACCTCTTCAGGTAGACTTGAATGTGAAAACTCATCGTCACCGTGTAAACTAAAAGAGATAAATGAGAGAGGGCTTGAAGTTTCCATTGTCGTACTTAATCATCAAAATCCTTGGCTAAGAATTATCCCCCTATCTTTTGGTTAATTGCGCTCAGGTTCCTGGAAATATCGAAAAGGTTCTCCTGTATACTTTTGTTGAGTCTGTTCTGACAGGAGAGGGCTGGTGCTCCACTAATATCCATGTATTCCAGGGCTAACTCTTGAAATGACTCAGGTTTTTCGAAACTGTCAACACAACTTTATTCTATCTAACCGGCGCACATAAGGTCATAGAATAAACTTTTGATAAAATCTATTTTTCTTGTAGTTACTTTTGGTATGGTTTACAATATATTTTCTTACCTTATCTGATCATCAGAATGTTGAGAGGATTGTGATGACTCTTCGTCTGAATTAAGATCCTCACCTATGATGCCTCGAAATCTGGTGTCTTCCAAAGCTTTCTCGTAGAGTTCATCAATAAGGTCGCTTTTGTCTTTGTTTTGCACACACCAAAGAACAAGCTCGGCAACGGAGCCCTCTGTATCGTTGCAGAGAGATGCCACAGCGAGGCGTTCAGGCTCTGAAGGATTAAACTTCTCCACATTATCACGAAGGCTCTCGTACTTTTCACTTATCTGTTTGATGTCTCTAGCAGGGTCATCTTGACTGGACTGGGATGTTGTGCTACGTGCATCTTCGCCGCCGTAAAATTCCAGATCAAAACCTGCTTCCCAGATACCTGCCTCACCAAGAGCTTCCTTCAGTAATTTTCGGTGAAGGCCTGGAAGAACTTTTTCCAGAAGACTATAAACTTGGAGATTAAGAGATTCCAATTTCGAGCCCTGTTTCAAACTGGCGAGTTCCTTGCGCAAGAACAACAGTTGCCGTATGGTAAAAAAATTTAACTCGCGGTATTTCATCCTCATCTCGTTGATATGTTCTCTGCATGCGTCGTACAGTTCTTCAAATTCCTCGCTCTTTAAACGGATTTCATCGATGATCCTTTTTCCCATAGAGCTCTTACATTTGTATTCTTCATTCCAATGGAGGCGTGACACGTCTCCAATTTCACAGAGATTAACATACGCCTGGCCAAGTTGAACGGCACCTTGTAGCAACTAGAATAAAAATGAAAATTTCTCATCCTTTTTTAGCGTATTCCAAATAAACAAGGAAAGAAAGAAAAACCATCACGTAATAAAGATGTAGTAAGCTTCACCAGAACTAAAACGTTTAACCCTTTCTGACATTTTTCCAGCCTATTCTTTTAGTAATCGCTCGTTATCTTTGCTGCTTTATTGCACTCTTCTCTTTCCCTGCCGCATTCTGTTAGTTTGAAAGGTGTCTGGCCTATCAACTTCTTTTGAATAAATTTGCATGGTTCTCGAGTTAAAGTTATGTAAAAAATTTGGGGGGCCAAAAGTATCATTCAGCTTTAAATTCTTTACCTCTCCAAACTTGTTTATATCCTCTTGACCTCGTTGTGAATCCTTTCCCGAAATTAGCGCAAGTTTACTTTGTAGATCCTGAAGTTTCTCCAAACTGAATTCCTTTGGCTTACCACTTTGGTCATTTGGAGGTAACAGTAAACTGATGACGGAGTCCACATTTTTCTTGTCATAGAGCTGAGTTGATGCTGGACTGTCCTGCAACTTGCCAATGGAGTAGACTCCTTTTTCGTTGATAGCTTGAGCCAATTTGAGAGACGACATGGCATGCTCATCCTTTACGCCCTTAAGCCAATCAAGATGGCGGCTGATGCTTTTCTGTTAGAGCAACATTATCATCAAGCAGATTAGTTTTAAGGAAACCGCATTACCTAGATAATTCGTATGATCAAAGTTCGGCATTGTAAGGAAGGTTAGAAGCATTGCTTTCAAATCAATATCTTAAAAAAAAAGAAAAAAAAACTGTCAGCGGTAGACGTAGTTTGCTTCAATCATCGCCATAAGTGAAATAATTTTAATACTGTTCGTCACGGAAATCAACAAAATATTCAAATTGGAATTTTAAAGGGTTACTCATTATCAAACAATTGTCAATTATTTGATACCTCCCAAAATAAAGATAGCTTTCTACATTCTTTGCCGCCATGAAACTTAGACCGCATGAAACTATCATGATAATCAATACTTTCAAATGAAAAACGTTTGGAAGACTTTTACCAGCTTTTCGAGCAAAGATGTATCTTTTTCGATCTCCTTCCACACGCTTTCACATGTCCTGATAAGTTCCCCAAAGCTGGTGTCTTTGTCCAAATCAAAAATGAAGGGAGCAAAGCCAAGAGCAGTGGTGTGGACACAGGAAACACGATCAGTTTCAATGTCAGTCTCACCAGCCGACATCATCGCTAGGTCCACCAGAGTTTTCACCTCGTCCCTTCCTAGTGAACAATATTAGACAGGATTCAAAGCTAAACAAGAAAGAAAACAAGTGAGGGGGCAATTGGGCACTTTGGCATCATTAACATGAATGGGGTGCTGGAAATATAACGGTGAGTAGAGAATTCTTTAAAAAAGACTGAAAATAAAATCTATCTTTCGTGATAGTTTCAGGAGACTGAAATTAGAAAAATTTTAAATTCGGCGACTCCGATTATTGTTTTCTTATGCTTTTCAAAGAAAATATTAACCAGTTTTACAAAAATACCACAGGTTACCACTGATGTGAAATATTTCAAACAATTCTTTATTCAGTCAGTCTATTAGTTAGTCACTATAAGTAACTGAAAGTTAGACAACTCTCAGAGAAATGTTTAAGGAAAACACACCTTTTACTTCCTCACGAAGCCAATAGATATAGTCTTTGCAAGCAGCGACAGTCTTCAAGCATTTAATCATAACTGCTGTTACATGTTCAAGATCTTTTCCCATTTCTAAAACATCATCACCAATAGTTGAGAGAGGGCGCCCGCGAAAATCGTCGCTCATCTTGTAAAAATAATCATAAAATCATACCAGTCAAAAGCAAAATATGTCTGTACAGTTTAAAATCAAATGGTTGCATCTTCCCATCAAACAACTATACTCTCTGATCTGTGAGAGTATTCTAAAATGCATCATAGATAGTTCTTCTTTGGATCATTACGCCTTGAACAGCCCCAGTTTACATCATCCATGCCAAAGCAAAGTCGATTTTCCTCAGTGAGCCTCCATAGTAAGATAGGTTTCCTAACGATACCAACTAAAATTAAATGACATTGTGGCAAAGTGCAATTCAGTTTGTAACATGTTTGTATCCCCGCGACCTTTAATCGATTTTAGGAAACTCGCGTCAACTTAACAATTAAGAAGAGAAATTAAAGTAACCATGTTTTGATCATTTGCTAAACCCAATAAAGTTAGCATTTATCGTAAGTTCCTCTTGAAATATTGCAATATTTACCCTGGCTTGTTATCTATCCACTCGCCATCTTGTGATATTCAGTCAAGAGGCACTCTATAAATTTCAATGAGAGGACCCAAGTTCTATCCCAAATAACTACCTGATTGCGAAAGTCATCCAGTACTTGGAAGTCTCCTTCAAGCTGCATGGCGTTTTGAAACTCCAAGATAGCCGCAGCAGCTTCCTCGCATCCCCTCAGCTTCTGGTACTGTTTGATCTGATCAACCCGCTGATTGATGGCGGCTTCACTATCTTGTTCATCGGGAAGGAGCTTCAGTGCTATTCCAATTTCAATATCGAAACGCTCAGATTCATTTCTAAATTTGTCGAATCTTTCATCCACTTCTCTCAGACTTATTTGCCCGCTACATACTCGATCCCACAGAGTTTGCCATCTTTCGAAAGACTGGGTCCACAAAAGCTCGTTTACTGCGTCTAATGTCAGTATTCCAGCTAGTCGGGGATCATCTCGGCAAATGGGAGCAACCTTTTCCTCGCACTTATGCCAGATGGTACGGAAAAGATAACTGGATTGGAGTTGGTGAAGATACTTGGTCATTCTCTTATTCTTCGACGTGAGTTCAAAATATCTTACCAGAGGCTCTTCAGTGTTTCCGCGCTTGTGGCAAAGATCAAGCACACGACAAGATGTTATGTCCTTCTTCAGCTTTTCTTTGATTTCATCCAAGTTCACTTTAACTAAAAAAGTGAAAACGGTATAACTGTATCAGACGCATCTTAATAACTATATAGGTTTTGCGTTCAATCCAGCTTTTGGGATTGGTTACGTTGCTTCTTTTTCCTTCGATCCTTGTAGTTTTAAACTTAGTATCGAAGTGTTCGGGTCTCACCTGATTTTAAAGCAGAACAAAACTCCACGAACGATGATACTGCTGCTTTCTCGCTTTCAAACGCTTTAAGCTCATCACAACGCATTTCAAGAAACAGCTCCATAGGATCTGTCTCTTTTTGGTTTTCCTTGACTCTATCTATCTTGATCGCCTCATGAGGGACTTTTGATTGATTTTCCCCAGAGCTGGATCGCAAATAGTTCAACTTTAGGAACTTTTGTTGATTTTTCTGAACAAGTCGTAGAGTTTTCACGTCAATCTCAGCATTCCTGAGGCCTGTGCTGACTTCTTCCAAAAGTGAAGATGCCTGATGAAGAAGCCCCAAGCCTTCAGGAGGTAGACTTAATCCATCTTGACGTTGGCCGTCTATAAACAAAATAACTGTCAATTTTTTAATTTAAATAAAAAGGCGAAATTTTATTTCAAAAATCGCCATTGAGTGAAACAATCAATATTCAGAGTTTGATAAGTGTGTAGCGAGCTGTAACGATTGTTAAAAAAATTATCTATTTAGCCTCATTTTCAAATTGTCCTTGTGGTGATCTACAAAAATGAAAACCACTTTACGTACTAAAGTACTTCAAGTATTCTTCCATCGGTTTCCAGGAAAACAAATGACGCAAAAGCTCATCGCGCGAAGGATCTCCTCCATCTCTTCCCTCTGGCCATTGCTTCTTTAGAAAACGACCAAACAGTTTGCCGACCCCAGATGCCTGCCGGTCAGTTAGCTTTGATGATTCTAGACTCCAACTCAACTTTTCCAATTGGTCGTCCCTGATGTCGCCCTATAACGAAAAAAATTGGAACAAAACAAAGAAGTTATTGATTGAGAAAGAAAAAACAATTTCAGCACAACTTAACTGGTCGATCAGAACACGCGATCAGTAATTATAACATAACCAAAGTAAAGCGCGCGCTCTGATTGGTCAAATTGTTGTTGTTGTTGTTGTTGTTGTCAAATTAGCGTCCCCCATTTGCCCATGGGTGTACGCTGCTGACGTGAGCAAATGCAAAGACTATTTTTCCGCGCGCGCTTGTTTTTTCTGGTCACGTAAGATTTGTTAAATAAAAGGGAACTCTTTAGCTACAATGTATCAATGTTATGTTATAAAACAAATGGTAAACACCACAGCGTACACTATTGAGTTATGGATGCACTTGGGAGGTTTGCTAAGCACTCAAGAAGCTAGAGTCGCTCTCGGCTATCGCCTCGAGCGACTCTTACGCTTCTTTCGTGCTTAGCAACCTCCCGCGTACATCCATAACTCAATAGTGTATGCTGTGCTGTTTACCATTTGTTAATTAGTTATTCCTGTAAATGTAAACTATTTTCTTCAGTTATGCAAAAAACGGTGAGTTGAATATACGGTGGTGTAGGTTAATAACCTACCTGTCGAGAACGGTCTATAGCCTTGAATGCAGCGGACATGAGGCAGTCGTCAACTTCTTGATGGTAAATGCTGAGATCAAGGGTGCAATATAATTCTATGACACGTTGGTAGTCGATCTATTTATTCAAAACAAAGAAGAACACATGAAAAATAGGACTAGTGGGATTTACCCAGTTTTACAAGAGAAAGATGACTCAAGAATATAGTGACTAGCTCACACTCACCAACAGTTAAATGGTATGAAATAATCATATTAACGAAAAACTTTAATAATGATAATGATAATAACAACAACGATAATAACAACAACGATAATAATAGTAATAATAATAATAATAATAATAATAATAATCACAATAGTAATAGTAATGATTTCTTGTGGGGGCTAGCTCAAGAACCTCACCTATCTTCTATCAGTCTATCCTCTAAGCTCCAATAATGATTAAACTAGGTTTCTTTTCACTTTAATTTCAATTTTGCTTGTGAATTATATATCATTTTCTCATTTTACTGTAACTCCAATTTTGTGAGACATCCGTTTCACACAACAAGGCATTCCGCGTTGTGGGATATTCTACCATTCCTCCATTACACCGTTCCATCGTTCCATCATTCCATCGAGTAGGGTCACCGTGTTAACTCGAGGTAAGGTAAGGTCTTTCGGACCTTACTCGCTTCGAAAATTTAGCTGCTCTTTTGAGCATTTGTCGGTGATTGAAATAGCAAAATGGTCACTTTTCGAATGCATGCAATTTTTCTTCAGAGCCACGATTCACATCAAACCTTTTAGATATTTCAGCAAGGAAAAGTCTTTTTTCAACTACTTGCCGGTGAAGTCACCGTGAAATTATTTGAGATGTTTATCATCTTTTGTGGTGTCCCGGCAGGACCTGGGCATAATTCCCTGATCAAAAGAGTAAAGTTCTCTCTCTTCCAAGAAAAGAAAATTCCTTTATTTTTCATAATGCACCGATCACACCTTTTAAGACTTTTCTGAGGGGTGAAGCTTTGTTTTTTCGCACGCCATCCTAAAATGATTGTGAGATGTTTATCGTTTTCTGTTGTACTCCATATCAAACAACAAATACACCGGGAAACAGTGTAATCACTGGCTAATTCCGAGTAACATTCGAAGCGATCCGAAGATGTTCCGAAACAAGCAAAAGCCAAGAGCGAGGAAAATTGGGTAAAACTCGGCAGACTTCGTCGTACTCAACAGGAGAACATTGTTGCTTGCCCTCCATAAGAGGCAGTAGCCATACTGGAACTATATACGAAGTAATAAACGTTTGGCTGGTGACAAAGTATACAGGTAATACTTGAGACCCACTTCACAAATCCGACTTTCAAGTACTCCTTTCACACAGCTTTCCAGGCTTTGTTGCATTTCATCGTCATCCAGCTTTAACGATAGAAGGTTCGACCAAAACTAGTGGGCAATCAAAATAAACCTTAGTATCTCAAAAAATCTTTTTCACAATTTACGTAAGATGAGATGAGTTAGTGTTCTCCGTAACGGGTTCTATAAGACTAAAACAGGATTACTTTGTACTCTAGATATGTAACATGAACTCCTGATATAAGTCCAACTCAAATTGACCTAACCTCACTGACTTTTACAAATTTAGCAGTTCAAAGTTTTTCCATCTAATAATACCTGGAATTCTTCTTCGCAGTACTTTTCTGATGCGTTCTGTAACCTTCCTGAAGCCCGATGCAGCGTTTCCAAAGATTTCCGTAAACTTTCAAACGATTGTTTGAAGTTATGTTCATGCATAGTGCCTTCCTTTCCGTCAAACTGCATAGCAGAAGAGTCTTGTTTAGCCAGGACAAGACTTTTGCTTAGGAGTTTCAGAAGGCCACAGAGTATTTGACTTTTCTTCTGGATTGCTAGTTGGTGCTCTGTTAGCAGGTGCTGCAAAAGCTGTGATACTGCTTGGGCTAGTGACGTCATTTCCTCCCACTGAGTGAAGTGTCCCGCCCTAGCGAAAGGAAGAGAAACCAGAATTGTACTGGAAACCATAGACCTGACCATAACAAATCATTGCAGAAAAGGAATCAGCAAAACCTTCTTTTGAGTTTGATTTAAGATAGTTTTTTTAACCTAGTCCTACTCATATTTTATTACACGACTCGGGCAGTCAGAGGGCCAATAACTAAAATCAACCACTCAAAATGCTCTATTGCCGGTCCAATATTCTCTAAGTATTGGACCGGGCACTGTCCCGAATGGTCCCGAATGATACCGCACTTGTGTCCCTTTGAACTTCAGTCGTATAATAAATCTCTTATTAACCAAGCTTGCTCGGGACCGTACTGGAAGAATATAAGAATATCAGCCCTCGGTCTTTTTTGTACGGACCTCGCTACGATCGGTCCGTACTGTCAAGACCTAAGGCCAATATTCTCCCAGTACGGCCCTCGCGCTTGGTTAATAAGATATATATAGAGGCTTCTACCTCTCAAACCTTTCAGCAACTGCGACGTTCATGTCCTGAATGCATTCTTCAAGAGAATTCCACTGTGAAAATAAGACACTATCATGAGGGAAACACTAATTGCTTTTCGTTTGTTTCTTTGTTTTACTTTATTTTAGACATTTGTCATCATAAATAACTTACAATATCAACGTTGACTTTCTAACGATACCTACATGCATTTCACACAATATCAAAATAGCAAAACTGCTTGCAACACTAACGTTAGTAACCACTCTAACATAATTTACAATACTGACTAAAAAAATATATCAATGTTAATTTTAATAGACACATTTTACCGACAGTAAACACAATAAAAAACAAAACAAAACAATCACATTAACAGTGAAAAGGAAAATAACACAACAGAAACAAGCCGCACTCCTTTCGTTGCTAACTATAACTCAATATAACAGTATCAATATAACATACATCGTATTCCCACTGTATAAGTCCTTATTCGAAGATTGTAGCTATATAAAAATGCACTAGATACTTCCTAAGACTACTTCAGAATGAGTAATCTCGTTAAGTGATGAATAAAATTAGTGATTGCCGATCCCGCCAAACATTCGTTTGTTTATTTTACGATGACGATGAAACCTTGCCAGAGCAGTGGAATGAATGAATTAAGGCAAATTGTTATTCTTAAGAAACAGATTTGCAATTAAGCGAGCATAATTGTAGGAGAATTTTGTGATGAAGCCTCTTGCTACGTCTTTACCAGTCCCTGAAAATAAAGTAAGTCTAGATTCTTTAACAATAAAAAGATGTAAAAAGTCATTTTACTTGTCATAGGAATATAGCAACTATAAAATTTACCTCTTCCTCCGTGAGAAATAGGGGCCTATCTCTCTCCTTTACGATCCGAAGAAGTGTCCAACAAACTTCATACAAAGAGAACTTTCCCCTCTTTAACACCTTGCTCATGTCACAGATTGAAAGTACCAACAAAAATGTTCTTTTGAACAATGGGTCAAGCTCAAACATGGGAGAAAGTTGGTTTTGCAAAAGTGCTGGAGTGTTGGCCCTCTCACTATGACACAAAAAAAAAACAATACAAACTATGAGTTTTCTTCACGGTTTAGAGGTGATAGTCAGAACATAAAATGATTTCAAAAATACGGTTTCGACGTAATGCGTCGATGAAAAGATTAAGTGTTACTGTTACTTAGAAAAATGAGGGCCATGGCTATGGAAGATGACGTATTAGGCTTTTTCTTGACTGACAATTGCAAGTTTTTACAACACTCAGACATGTCTTGCGTGCCGGTCACCTTGTCTTGTCTACAGATCACATGCATACTATTATTCGCACTCCAAACATGTCCGCTATAAAAAGTATTAGTATCAAAAGACTCCAACCTTGCATTGAACGCTTGCCGTCGAACTCGAACAAAGTCGAAGTAGTCATCTGCTCCCCACCAATTGTTGTCATTAAGTGAACTTGGTGCTGCTGGTAGCTGTCCGCCCGAGAATGGTGCTACTGATTTCGATAAGAAATGAAGCAAGGGGACCGCGAACAACCAATGAAATACGCAGTCCTTTTCCTCAATTACGTATTTACACAGTCGTTTCAAGTTCTCCACCAGTGTCCTTAAAAGTAGAAATAAGAAGTCATTTACCAACACATATCGAGAAAGAATAAAATAATTTTCGCCAAATTACTGAAAACTGATGTGTAACTAGCATAATTGTTTTGGAGGTACTTTCGGCAAAGTTATTCATCATTATCTGCAATTTCTAAACGATATTAAACAAGAGAACACGAGCTAACTTTACATTAATGATCAGGAGTAGGTGCATTCATGCTCCGAGGTCATTTTAAGATAGGTTGCACGTAAATATCCCTAATTGGCCTTTTAAAACCGTCAGTACGGATCATGAGATCCCATATAATATGCGTTAACGTCGAAAGAAAATGTCAAACCTCTGCACTTTATCTGGAAAATACGACGAAAGTTCCTCGAGCTCGATGCATTTCTTCTGAATAGTGTTTCCATGCAACGCAAGATTTTCTAAAATTTCCTTCAACACATTATCCTCGATGAATATCAGGCGATGACGAACAGCGAGGGACGCGATCATAATAGAAGTAACCAGTCGTTTAACTTGAACTTCATAATCTTTGGCTTGGGTTTGCTGCACTTGAGTGTTGTATTTCAGCCGTGGAAACAGGTAGTCAAACAGCACCTTATCAAAAAAAGCACTATAGGAATCAATGTTTCATATTGATCTGGTCGTCGAGTTGCCCAATACTTGATGCAACTGTTTTTCACGGCGGAACGGCAAGGAAAGAGGTTTTATCAGTCATTTGATAAAATGACATCACCAGCTCGGCAGATAAACAAGCAAAGTTTCACAGGTCTAAAGTTAAAATACTAACCTCCACAAATTGAAAGGCTTAACTGCAAATTTAATCCAATCAGTTAAAAGTGTAATTCACCCCGGCAGAAACTACGCAATTATCGAGCTCTTCCGCAACATATCTTCAATTACTGATCCCTTAAAAAGCTCATCAATTTGCGAATATCCGGGAATCTCTTGTTCTATTCACGGCGTTCACAGCCATTTTTCCCACAGCAGCTTTGCAAGTGGTCGCAAGCGCGGGGAAAACGCACAAGCATGGGAAAAATTGCCCTTTCGTAGTTTAAGTTGGCATCTTACGTCAGATACGAGAAAGCCGCGATGCGATTTATACGATTAGTTTCGCGTCTTATTTAGGGTGCAGTGTTGAGCCCCAAAGTATAATTGTCTCATATCATCTATCAATATGATAAGTTTCGTCTTTGATTAACCTTATCAACTCTGCGATTTTATAACGGTAATGAGGTATACTCCTCTTTTACACAAACCTGCCTTTCATCAAAACCGATTAGGGGGCGATGGGAAATGTAACTTCCATTCTGCACTTCTTGTTCTCTCATGCAATACATCACATCGTTAATTTGAGTCAAGGCAGTTGACGCGTTAACTCCTCTTTCACCAAGTGAAATTCTGTCCCATTCCGGTAACATGATTAGCATGGCTCTTCTTCGACCCTCCGCTGGATCAAGAGGAACTTTTCCCAGAAAGGGTATATGGCTGCTAACGGACTCCCAAAATCGAGGTTCACTGAAGACTGCATCGTCATATTGGTGCCAAACAGCTGTATAACAATAACAATCAATGATGGTTGTCAATCTCACAATACGTAATCGGAATGAGAGGGTGAATGAGAAATCAAGGAAAGAATGACTGAAATAATGAGTGAATGGATGAATAATGCTGAATGTAAGAACGAACGGGCGAATTGGATGGGCGAACGAATGAAATTGGAGAGAGAAGGGAAAGAAGGAATGACTAAACAGATTAAAAAAAATACGTAAGACATTTGTTAGAATTCAACACCATGTCATATTACCGTTGCTTTCCCGAGAATCCTCACGTATAAGTAAGGAGCGGTTAACATGATCTCTCACGTAAGGTATAAAGCCAAGCAGATATTCCCATAATGGTTTTAGGGGCGCGTTCTTTCCTTGAGAGCGAAATACAACGTATTTGTAGGAGATTCTCCGGGATGCCTGTCGCAGAGTAATATTGGCACTTCCCTCCAAAAGAAAGTAGCCATCGGATAAATCCCTACAATTGAGGAAAATAAGTTAAATAATTAAAGAAATTGAAAACACGTTTTGCGTATTTCAGCTGCAGTGTCGAGACTTACCTGACAATGCGAACTTCAACTTGAGACTGAGGGTCTTTCCATGAAAAAGGAAAACTCCCGCAGATGAAAATTCTATCCCCTTGTCGAGGGTTGAAATGGAACGTTGGCGTTAATAACGCGTGGAAAATGACAGTCAGAAATTCGGTGTCTGAATTTGGTTCACTTTTATCACTGTGAGCACTCAGTGGTTTGTTATTTGTTAATGGTTGGTTAGTGGCTGATTGGTTAGTGCTCTGACCACCTCTACCGTTTTCACCTGATTGAAACATTCCTGGTTTGGAAGCTTCCCCTTTGATATTTTCTACTGATGCGGCATTAGATTCAGACCTTAAGACGAATTGTCGGCCATTATCTGACTTGTTGCTGTTACCATTGGCATTCGTGGATTGCTTCTCTTTATCATCAGCAGCTCTCCTATCCTTTGTAACATTTGAACTCTCAGCCATTTTACCCTTAGTATCTTGACCAGTTTCCTTTCCTTTATTGCTGTCGAATGTTGAATCATTCTTGGCACCCTCCGTATTCCCTAAAATGACCTTTGTGTTGCTCCTCTGCTCCACAGCAATATTCTCCCCACGTGGCACCTGCTGGACATCTTCTTGTCGCTCTCTAACATCATTTGTAGGCTCTCTGCTGCTATCAATGTGACTTTTCTTCATGACTTCTTCCTTCGCGTCAATGCTCGGATTTGCAGCGCTCTTATCCAGTTGTCCTGGACAAGTGGTTCTTTTTTCGTCAGTAGTGATGGGTGGAGTTATCGCCTGTTGATTGGTATCATGATCAGAGTCTCCACTCAGACCTGGGTAAACATTTTCTTTAGAACTTCCACTGCCGGTTTAAAACAAAAAGCAGTTTTAGTCATACAGAGGTGTAGAATAGACAAGGTTTTGTGATTTGAATATTTCCTTGTTTATTTCAAGGTAGAATAAGGTATAATATACATCAAATTTTCAGTGCAAAGTTTTGAGTTACTTGTCTTCAACGTTTAATTCATAATCACCTCGCTTTTGTGCCGTTTTGATCATCGCTGATGTGTACTCGGTCTTCTGCTGAAATGCATGGTACCTCTCCTGTCTGAGTTCCTCCTGGTACCTACACATTTAGAGAATGAGAAACGATACACTCACTGACAGTAATCGCATTGAATTACTTGCTTTTCTGCAACACGTTCATTCCGAAGATAATTGAGTTGTTGAATCGGTTCCATAACCTACGGCACCGACACCGAAAAAACGAGGTTAGCTGAGATATTTATCATCATGATGCCCGTAGGGCCCTGCGCACGAAATCCAAAGAAAACCATAGTGAAGGTTGACCTGTGTGGGGCCGAACTTGTTGACTTAGCCGGTTCGAAAAACGCTGTCCATCTCTACTCTCGCCAGAGTTTGTTGCAAAAGCTTGGAAGATTCACGAAAGAGAATAAAAAAAACTGCTTTTTTTTCGTTGTGACTCGAAAAAAAAAACAAAAGAAAAAGTTTTTATGGTAGAATTTTTTTTTTTGTGGTTGTCCCACGTGCACCATCTATCGCATCCTATTATGGTCGAAGCAGAATTTTCAAAAGTTTCAACACTTAGAGTTCAAATGATAAAATGCTCCTTGACTAAGCTTAGTCGGGCCGGACGGAAAAATTAGCGGCCTTCGGTCATGATGACCACGAGCCAGATAGTTTCTCGTCCGGCCCATTTTTGAATTCAAATAGAGTGGGAAGATTGTAATTTAACCAAACTTTTGAATTCAGCAATCATGGTGCACGTACGAACTGAGTTATTATAAAGACAGCTTCAAAATTTCTGTTTACGTGGATAAAGGTGTTATACCCGGTGCAGAATAATTGTACAAGGCGCTTCATACCGTGTTGGGTGTGGCTCTGACGGTGTTAACCGTTTCTGGTTCCGGTGCTGCTTCGGTGCGTTCCTGCTCTACAGTTGCCTCTGTATTGGGGGACTTTGGTGTATCAGAAGAATGGTCTCCGTTTTCACGGGTTTCGATGTTTGACTCAGTGAGAGGGATTTTTCCTTCTTTTTGTAAGGCTTCAACCTCGCTCGAATTAGGAGGACTTTTAATATCATTATTCTGATTTGCCTCTCCTTTATTTGAAGAACAGTCTCTTTCCGATTCGTCTCTCTTGCTTTTAGCTTCATCGGCTGATTCTGTTATTGAAGGGGGTTGACCAGTAACATCCGAGCCCTGATCCTGAGAAGGGTGTGGTCTGTTTTCAAAAACCTCAGTCCTGTTCAGGTGATCTGTTTAGGTATAATTTAAATCATAATCATATAACGGTAGTTTCTCAGCCGCTAGTTGAAATATCGTGCATTTTTTTCATGATGATCTTTGCGTAAATCGACAAAATAATTTAAAGTTAAACTCTTACGCAGTGAGACTGCACCACCAATCATCACTACCTCTAGTACCGAGTGCTGAGTACCAAATTTCCACTTATACCCAAGGCTTAACTATCCCCTCATTTGCACCAAAGTCAACTGATAAGCAGGCTTTGCATTGCTTCGTCAATTTGCGCCCATTCTTTCCTACATAGTGATCAGTTAGCTCAATTGATTAGAGCGCTGGACTGTTGTGCGGGAGGTCGAGGTCGATGGTTCGAGCCCCGGCCGGACCAACACTCAAGGTCTTAAAATAACTGAGGAGAATGCGCTACCTTTCTATAAAGTCAAGAAATG